TATATGGAGTGGTGGCATGCCTGTTTTTAATAATATCAAAATTTGTTATTGTATTTATGTTTTTAATGCTGATGGGTATCTTGGTTTTTAGAGGTTTTGAGGGGTAGAGGAAAAGGTTATGGCATGTTTTTAATATTTACAATCTGATAGGAAAAGCTGTTTAGTTTTTTTCATAATAACAAACTGGGATGAAGTAAAAAGACAACACCTAAAAGCAGCTTGTCTTGACTCTAATTCCTTGTTCATTTGTGCTTGCCTTGCCATGCTGCAGTGAGTGTATTTAGAAGGTTTGTTGTCAGCGTATGAACTAGGTGTATGTTTCTCACAGGAACCCGTGGGAGATGATTGGGTCTGTCTCCCTTGCTGACAGCCTCTAAAATGGCAAGTTGGACACTTGAGTGAACAGGGAGGAGGCCTTGAGGGAAGAGGACTTGTTTAAACTTTCCCTTCCTCCCTCCCTCCTCCCCTCTTCATACCGTAAATACTCGATAGAATTTGTAAAAGAATAACTGCTTCCAGCCAGTTTTAGTAGTGCTTAATAGAGTTATTTGTGGTAACAATTCCGCATTTATTTCTAAGTCTTATTTCCTAGGAAACCTTGGAAACGGGTATAGGACATTTTTAACACATTGTTTTGTTGTACTTTATAAAATTTTTAAAAAATGTTAAGAGCTCGAGCTGTTCCTGGTTTAATGGAATTAGCTTAAGTGGGCATATTGTTGTGGTTAATTGTTACATCTGTGTCTTTGTTTTTCAAATTGTTTTTTGCCATTGTGTTTTAACGTACTTTTACAAGCCACTCTCCTTAAATAAAAAAGTAGGTAACCAGCAAGAGATACTCATAACTGTGCCTCCCTCACACTCCTGGTCTTGAAAGACCACTGAAGAGAGCACATGATGTTCTATAAACACAATTAAGCAGTAAATGCAGTCTCTAGAATATGCCTTTGTGGTGGACTATTCCTCTGAAACTCTGATACTACATCTGGTAGAGAAACCACATTAATCTTTCATTGTTGATAATTTGTGAGGTCCTCAGCACATGGGAATTAAAGTTGAACTTTAACCTTTTGACAATCTGTCATTAACATAGTAGAATAGAAATTTTATTAAATACTGTAGTTGGGAACATTGATTGCCTGGTCTTTAAAAAAAAAAAAAAAAAATACTTCTTCCAAAACATCAGGTTTAAATATAGGTTTACATTTAAAATATCTAAAGAAAAAAATGCTCATGTTATTAGTGCAAATATAAGGAGTGAAAAATGTTAAAATCAGGACACAGTTTACTTCCATGAAATCTTAATCTTTTTCTAATTATGAAATAAACGTGAGGCACTTGAAGCAGTTAATTTCCCCTAGCGATCTTTGAAGTGGTTACAGGATCTGTGACGTAACTGATCGTTCTGTAAAGCTCCTGAGACCACCCACTTTCTCCTCCCCTTCACCATCTCCCATCTCCAATGAAAACCATAACAACTCCACAAGCATGCACAGTGTGATGTAATTCAGAGGCTGCTTCTGGAGCTGCAGGAAGGAGATTTTACTCAGAGGAAGAGCATCGTTCTGGCCACATCTGGAAGTGAAAACGGAAGCCAGAAACAGTTGGCCAGCCCTGGGGATGTTTTTCTTCTGTGCCTCTGGTGGAATGACATTGCTGTGTAGGCATGCTTCCTCTCACTGTATTTCTTGGCTTTGAAGAGTACTGAGTTTAAAAAGACAGTATGTGACAGTCCATGGAAACTGCCTTTTCTGTGAAATCTCTCCACCTGCTCTGAAGACATGTTGTTGTCTCCCAAATTCTCCTTATCCACCATCCACGTACGACTGACAGCCAAAGGATTGCTTCGAAACCTTCGCCTGCCTTCAGGGTTTAGGAGAAGCACGGTTGTTTTCCACACAGGTCTGTCTTGCATAGATCTTTATTTAGTGTTGTGCGGGGGATATCTTCATTCATTTGCAGATGTTTATCAGAGATTTTTCCAAGGAAACAGATGATGGGAGAAACAAAGCTCTCTCTAATGAGAGATTAGGCTTCATTTAAAAATAGTTTTCTGTTGTTTCAGTGTAAGTGCATAATACTTTTACCGTTTACAAGCAGACTGTGGTGTTCGTGTTTATGGAAGACATAATTGTTGCCTTGGTGTTCCTAGCTCTTTTCTCTGTCACCAGCCCAATCTGTGAAAATCAGCACCTGTTAAATTACATTTTACTCCAAATGGTTGGGAAACAGGACATAGGCAAATTTAGAAGAAGATTTCTTTTTCCTGTGGGGAGATGAGAAGGTTTCTGTGGTTTTTCACTGGATAGTTTCTGAGTGAGATTTTGACAGTAAATTTTCATAGGCTAAAAGATTTCTGTTTTCTAAACACTTCTGAAAGAAAACATCCTAATGGCTACAGGGAGGTAATAAGTGAATCACAAATCCAGTTTTCCAGTCTTCGTAGTAAAAATGTTTACAGTCTCAAAATACTTCCCCTGAGGTTTTTGTTTGTATCTAGTTTTTATTTTCTGTGCCTAAGATGAATTTTAAATTATTATATATTTGAGGCACCTATTGACCTGTCTGCTCACTTTTAGGGGATTGGGTTGTCCTACCTTGCTACTTTTGTTCTAGGTGATATTTACAACTACAGTAAATTAATCAGTTTTATTCTGTAAAACAGGTAACTATGGTACTGTTAGATTTGTTTGGGGCTGGTCAGTGTTAAGTGTCACAGGATGGTTTGATGAGGATGTAAATAGATTTTTTTTTTCTGCTTCATGTTCATGTGACCCCCTCATGTATCTTGTTTTCCACTTGGCTCATCTCTGTTGCTGGTGATTTTTTTTTTCAGCTGACTGTCTTTAGTTTTCCCAGAGGCATCTCCCTTCTCTGCGGGAGAATTCTCATTTTTTCCAGCACCTCTCTCTCGTGTTTCATAACTCCCCTTGACCTGTCATTTGAGTTTGCCAGCCCCTCCCTTTCGGTCTGAGCTGACAGCTGAAGGTAAATGGGGCAGGCAGCGGGGAGGTGGTCAGCCGTGGCCTTTCTCCCCCAGCCTAGGGCCGCTGCAGCTCTTCCAACGGAAAAAATTAATAGATGGGGGAAAAAAATAACAAAAAGTACCCTATGTTTGCCATAATTTGTATGATCTAAAGTAGCTCCAAATAGCTTTTAATTTTAACAAGTTTTTTTAAAAATAGTGTAATCTACCCGCCAAGTTAAAAATAAACAGTGTGGAAGGTTGTGCAATGAGTGAATCTCTCTCTTACCCAGGGGCCCTGCCCGTTCTCCACAGAGGCAGCTACTCTAGGGCTGCTGGTATAGCATTCCTGCACGTTTCCAATCACATGTAAATCTAGGTCTTTCATATTCTTTTTTGTTATACAGAGAGAAAAGCGTGCTATATGTTCTATGCCTTTTTAAAGTTAATGTATTTTCGATTTTCATATGATCCCATGTTTATCTTCCTCATTTAAAAAGTAGTTCTGTAACATTCCATTGTTGGGTAAGTCATGATTTACTTAACCATGGAGTAGACGTTCTGAGTTGTTTGTAGTATTGTTGTGAAGCAGACAGCTTTCCAGGACAGCTTACAAAAATCACAAGGCTTCTTTCACCAGAGTTTAGTTGATAGTGATGTGCTGGGCACATTTTATTTTCTAAATTCATATACAAGTATTTTTTGTTTATTTGCCGTCATAATCTTTTGAGCTAATCTATCTTATTTCATACAGGAAGTCTGAGGCCCAGAGAAGGGAATTCACTTGCCCAAAGACATACAGTAAATGGCAGAGATAGGGCTAAAACCTGGGACCTCTGTTTAGAATTTTTGGCATAATTTTGCAGCTGCAAATTTTGCTGTAATTTGGTTAGATCCCAAGAAAACCAGGGATGGAGAAAGTGTTTTGTGTGTTGGATGCTTTTTAAAATCATGTAAGGAATATAATTCTCCTTACTCGCAATGTAACTCTTTTGTGAGCTTATCCATATTATGTCATTTTAACACCTAAAAATTGTCCGTTAAGTGGATGTTGAAGCCCTCATGGTGACTTTTCCCTCAGTCGACTGTCAGCAGTAGCTTGGCCTTGTATCTTTAGTGAAGGAAGTGGTATTGGTTGCCTTGATGATGTGGACCTGGATTCCAGGAGTCCTGGATTATAGTCCTTATTCTGCTAGTAACTAAGTGAATGACTCTGTGCACCTGACCTCACACGGCTACAAAATAAGGGAATGAGATGAGATGACTTCCACGTTCCCCTTAGCCTCAACATCTGTGACTCTTCTGGCTGAAGATTTAAAAACCGTCAATGTATTACTCTGGCAATTCATCTTATCTAAATTCTCTCCTTGTTTTTGCCTCCTAAATTCAGTTAATACTCCTGAATTATCTGTGTCTTTTAATGACACCATGTGTCTTGGTCATCAAACCCCACCTTTGGTTTTTTGTTTTTGTTTTAGATGGAGTCTTGCTTTGTTGCCGAGGCAGGAGTGCGGTGGCGCCATTTCTGCTCACTGCAACCTCTGCCTCCCAGGTTCAAGCGATTCTCCTGTCTCAGCCTCCTGAGTAGCTGCGATTACAGGCATGCAGCACCACAGCCAGCTAAGTTTTTTGTAGTTTTAGTAGAGATTGGGTTTTACCATGTTGGCCAGACTGATCTGGAACTCCTGACCTCAGGCAGTCTACCTGCCTCGGCCTCCCAAAGTGCTGGGATTCTAGGCATGAGCCACTGTGCCTGGCCAGACCCCGCCTTTGAATCATTATTTGTCCTCATTCATCCACAACCAGTTGGTTGCAAAACTCGACAACTCCATCCTTTGAAATCTCTTTGTTCTTACCCCCCTGCCATTACCCTAGTTCAGGCATTTATTATACTGAAGCATTGAAATTGCTCTTCTTGGCTGGTGCCAGTGGCTCACACCTGGAATCCCAGCACTTTGGAAGCCCAAGGCAAGAGGATCACTTAAGGCTAGGAGTTTGAGACCAGCCCTGGAGACTTAGCAGGACCCTGTCTCCGCTTAAAAAAACAAACACACAAAAAAATTATTCTTCTAATAAGTGAAAAGTGGCCAAATATTACAGTTTTGTGTAATCCAGCCTCAGATGTTGATTGGGTTTTCTGAAGGGTTCTGTATGTGGTCTGTGCCTCCAGCCTCTCCCTTGCTTCTGACTGGTCCTTCGAGTTACAGACGAATTCATTCATTTCATACAGAAGTACCCATTAGACATGTACTATGTACCAGGCATAATGGTAGGTGCTGAAAGTGTGGCTGGGACTAAATCCCACATGGACCCTGCCTTCACACAGCCCACTGTTAAATGGGAGACAGAGCCCCAGGGAATAATGCAGGATGTGGATGGGTGCCCAGGCAGCTCTTAGCAGGTGGAGGGACTTTTATCCAGCTCCTCCAGTGGAAGTGCCTTTTAAGTTGGGTCCTCAGAAAATTGAGAAGTAACCAAGAAACGAAGTGTTTCGGAGGGAGAAAACAGTATGGCAAAGCCTAGAGGGATTGGGGGAAGGGCTCCTTCAAGGAAACAAAAGAGTTGTAATATTTCTGAGCATAGAATGTGGTGGGAGTGGGGCTGGCCATTACAGAGATCCAGCCAGAACAAGCTTTCTCACGGATCCCACGCACAGGGTGCCTTGCACTCTGATGTGCTATTACTGGGTGGCATCCACCTCTGGCAAAGCATGTTGTTGGCTCCAGGTTATCTTTCCTCTGTAAACAGGGGAGAGAAGAGAGAGAGAGTGAATTTGTCAGGTACTGTGTGTTACATTGCAAGATGTCGGGCACAGATGAAAATCTAAGTCCAGTGATGACTTCACTAACTTGCGGAAGTGTCGGCAATAGTCTTTCTTACCAAAATATTAAAGTCGGTCTATTTCAGAACTTTGCCTCAGCATATTAGTTCTATTTTTATAATGAGTCAGTGGAGGGAAAAGACTTTGCTAAGATATATTTGCTGCCACTTAGCATTCAGTTTTTGTATGAAGCTGGAAATTCTTGTATTAATTACTGTGAAGAGTGCCATTTGAACCTCACAGGTTAATTTCCTTCTTGACTCCAGTGAAGACAATTCACTGCACTAAAGACAATTCTTTCTGCTGAGCTAGTGACATTAAAAGTCATTTCTGCAGCGAAAAGGGGGAACATGTGGACACATGTATTGAGGAACAGCAGAGGTAGTATCAGGACAAAATATTTCTATTTACTTTTACCGTTTTTTTTTTTTTTTTAAATTTTTAGGTTCAGGGAGACAGGAAGATTTGTTATATAGGTAAACTCATGTCACAGAGTTTATTGTACAGATTATTGTACAAGAATTAGTTTATTGTACAGATTATTTCATCACCCAAGTATCAAGCCCAGTACCCAAGTTACCTTTTCTACTCCTCTCCCTCCTCCTGCCCTGCACCTTCAAGTAGACCCCAGTGTCTGCTCAACAGGTGTTCAGTAAGAGGCAGGCAGGATGTGAATGCATTTGTTTAATTAGGATGAAATTCATTGAATTATATTTTCGCATTTGGTATTCACTTTTGACTCCTTTTAGATGGAATTAACAGCTTCATTGAGAAGCAACTCATGTCTTACCTGAGGAAAAAGCAGCTTTGAGGTGGTGTAGGGGCGCCTCCATGTCAGGGTCCACCTCTCTGCTGTCTTAGCCCTTTCCTCATGCCTGTTGCCTCATGATCTCACAATGGCTGCTCCAAGAAGGAAGAAAAAGAAATAAGGAAGGAGTGGTGCCAGGTCGCTTAAGCTTCTGTCTCATTGGCCAGGGTGTCAGTCACATGACTGTATCTACCTGCAAGGGAGCCTGGGAACTAGAGCCTGTGACCTCTCTAGTCTCTGTCCCACAGACAGGTATAAAATAGTAAGAGCCCTATGGCAACATCTGCCACAGAGAAGGCAGAACAGGTATTTCTCAAGCAGATGTTGGCTGATTATAAAGTTGGGGAGTATATTACTTAACAAGTTGTCTGGCCACAGGCCTTGCTGTTTTTTCTCTATTCTGTGCATTTTGGAGGGGCATTGATTACCTATTTGTAATAATTCGAATTAAACTTACAGGTGGTTTTGTTGTTCACACCTAAGTCTTAATACTTGATTTTTGGTCTCCTAAATGAATGAATTTTCAGTCGTAAAATACATTGGGAAGGAATATATTCAACCTTAAATGTCGGTTTTGTATACTTAATGTTATTAGGAGTACATTTATGGATGCGTTAGGGATTAGGAGTGCATTTTTTCATGTACTGTTAAGGTGACAGTAAATAAACTTCAATTTCTCTTGTGTTTTTCATACTACAAAATGTAGATGTCAATAAAGCCATATTAGAAAGCTTCCATTTTAAAAAAACCACCATATATTGGAGTTTGCGTGTAAAAAGATAAAATTCAGGCATTTGTAGAATGCTGAAGAAACCACAAGGACCAAGATGAAGAAGAATGAGAGTTGTAGCCTTTCACGGCCCCTTAGTTATCTTCCTGTGAATCCAGATTGTTCTTGTCCCCCTCCTTCAAAGCAGTCATGAAAGATTTTTGTGGGCCTCTTGCCACAGAGACAGGCATTTGCTAAGAACTGACGTTATGAATGGCATGAGGCTAAAAACGTTTTGTCGCAGATTGATTCCAAGCTTCTGTGGCTGTGGCTGCTTTGGAGCTATAGCTTTGCCGGGACATGAAAGTCTGCTGTTGTGTAGTTACAGCTTTGTATTGAAGAAGACAGTAAAGTGGTTAACAGCGTTTTGTTCACAATAGGCAAGATTTTGGTAAGTTTTTTTAAGTGAGATGTTGAAAGAGACAGTATGTCTTAATCTGACAAGTTTCAGATAACTAGTTTTACTACACTAAATTATATTTTAATGTACTATCTTTTTTCACACAAAAATGGAAAGGAAATCATAAGTTATGGTTTGGAGTTGCATTCCGAATGGGAAGGATAGCAGTGTTTTTCTTCAAGAGATACTGGAGGAATATGGCAAGCTGTATATAGTAAATACTTGTTTCGTTCAACCAACTTGTTCTAGTTAATAGACAATTACCCTATAACTAATACATATTATGATACTTGTATGAGCTTTAAAGCATCTTTCAGAGCTAAGAATAATATTTTATTAATAGGCCATGCACAGTGGCTCATGGCTGTAATCCCAGCACTTTGGGAGACTGAGGTGGGTGGATCACCTGAGGTCAGGAGTTCACAACCAACCTGACCACTATAGTGAAACCCCGTCTCTACCAAAAATACAAAAATTAGCATGCACCTGTAATCCCAGCTTCTCAGGAGGCTGAGGGAGGATAATTGCTTGAACCCAGGAGGCAGAGATTGCAGTGAGTAAATACCATACCACTGTATTCCAGCCTGGGTGACAGAGCAAGACTCCATCTCAAAATATATATACATACACACACACACGCACACACACGCACACACACACATATGTGTATATATATATATGTGTGCGTATATATATATATATATATATATGTATATATTTTTTTGAGACGGAGTTTCACTCTTGTTACCCAGGCTGGAGTGCAATGGCACGATCTCGGCTCACCGCAACCTCCGCCTCCTGGGTTCAAGCAATTCTCCTGCCTCAGCCTCCCTAGCTGGGACTACAGGCGTGCGTCACCATGCCCAGCTAATTTTTTGTATTTTTAGTAGAGACGGGGTTTCACCATGTTGACCAGGATGGTCTCAATCTCTTGACCTTGTGATCCACCCGCCTCGGCCTCCCCAAGTGCTGCGTATATATATTTTTAATTACTAGTATATACATGTTATTTTCTTTAGTAGAAACATAACAGTTGTGATTTTAAAGGTATCTAACATTAAATGTCATATTTGTGTTTATCTTAGGCAATATTTTGAATTACTTTAGAAAAAGAGGGTCTTTTTAATAAACAGCAGCAATTATGTGGCTCTGTGGAAAATTAAGACTAATAGAGCTTTCTGTTTTGGGTGAGAGATTTGCCTTTTTTCTCCATGGTGACCTGAGTTCTAGGCACCTCTGTTCCAGATGGCTTGTCTTTAACTGCTTAGTATTTTGAGAATGATGTCATCTTTTAATTTATTGTTTGTACTATAAATATTTCTAATATTTAATGTTTAAATTGACTATTTTAATTTTCATTTCTGTTTTAAGACAGTTGGTTGTTGTTTTTTTTTTTTTTCTTTTCCTTTGGGAAAGTAGTGGGATTGCTGGGCTGAATGGTAGTGCTATTTTTAGTTCTTTGAGGAATCTCCGTACTGTTTTCATGGAGATTGTACTAATTCACATTCCCATGAACAGTGTGTAAGCATTGCCTTTTCTCCACCTCCTTGCCAACATCTGTTGTTTTTTGACTTTTTGGTAATGGCCATTCTGGCTGGTATGAGATGGTATCTCACTGTGGTTTTAACTTGATTTTCTCTGATGATGAGTGTTGTTGAGCATTCGTCAGTATGTTCTACTTTTTAATATGTTGGCTGCTTCTGTGTCTTTGGAGAAACATCTATTCATGTCCATCACTCACTTTTTATTGGGTTGTATTTTTTCTCATTGAGTGGTTGGTGTTCCTTGTAAGTTCTGAATATTAGATCTTTGTCAAATGCATGGTTTGCAAATCTTTTCTCCCTTTCTCTAGGTTGTCTGTTTCCTCTGTTGACTATGTTAACTGTGAAGAAGCTTTTTAGTTTAAGTCCCATTTGCCTATTTTTGGTTTTGTTGTATTTGCTTTTGAGATCTTAGTCATGAATTCTTTGCCTCAGCCAATATCCTGAAGAGTTTTTTCTAGGTTTTTTTCCCCCTAGGGATTTTTATAGTTTCAGGTCTTACATTTAAGTGGTAAATCTGTCTTGAGTTAATTTTTGTATCTCATAAGAGATAGCGCTTCAGTTTCTCTCTTCTAATTTTCCCAGTGCCATTTATTGAATAGCGTGTCCTTTCACCATTGTATGTATTTTTGCTGACTTTGTCAAAGATGAATTAGTTGTAAGCATGTGGTTTTATTTCTGCGTTCTCTGTTGTGTTCCATTGATCTATGTGTCTATTTTTAGACCAGTGCCATGCTGTTTTGGTTGCTGTAAGAGGGAGGCAATGCCTTCTTAAAAGTACTTCTGAAAGTGGTGAATTTGTATTAACTCTTCTTCAAGTTAGTAGTCCATTTTAGGTACATAAGAGCATGAGAAATCTGCTTTTTTTCTGCCAGCTATGTGAAAAATGGTTACAGGCAAGTTTGAACTGTTGCTTCAGGAAAAATTTTGTAAGCATAATTAACACAAAATAGAAATTTTTGTGGGAATATGCTCTCCATTCTCTAATCCGCTTTTAATGTGAAGCAAAGAAGTAGAACCGGGCCGGTCGTGGTGGCTCACGCCTGTAATGCCAGCACTTTGGGAGGCCGAGGCGGATGGATCACAAGGTCAAGAGATTGAGACCATCCTGGTCAACATGGTGAAACCTCATCTCTACTAAAAATACAAAAAATTAGCTGGGCATAGTGGTGTGTGCCTGTAATCCCAGCTACTCAGGAGGCTGAGGCAGGAGATTTGCCTGAACCCAGGAGGCGGAGGTTGCGGTGAGCCGAGATCGTGCCATTGCACTCCAGCCTGGGTAACAAGAGTAAAACTCCGTCTCAAAAAAAAAAAAAAAGTAGAACCACTTTTCATATAATAGGAGCTATCGCAACAAATTCTACCAATAGAGTAATGAAAAGTTTGAATGCTAAGGCATCTTAAAGCCTCCTCCCACCCTCAACAAAGAATTGGCTTGGATAATTTTAAATGTCTAAACACTGCTTTGCTGAGCTTAAGATTTTCCATATTCAGTAAATGCCATATCTACCTAGAAATAGAAAAATGTCTCCTAAATTATTATTACTGTTAACTCTTAGAGTATTCAGCTAATGAAAAGAACACTAGAAAACTTGATACAAATACAAACTCATAATTGACACAAAAGATAACTTTAAAAAATTGCATGTGAGATTGCATAGGTTATACCAAGAGCTCATTGTTAAATTGCTATGACTAGAAGGTGCGTGTGGTCATATTCTTCTGCCAGGGGTGGGACAGTCTTCAGGACATTGGGAGATAAAGAGCTGATTACTCCTCAGGAAAATTACATGGCAGTGATTAAATGTGGAAAGCAGGTGAGTTTAGAAAAGGCTGTTTTTTAGAGAAGCAAAAGTAGAGTGTTCGAGAATGGCCTAACACCTTCCTCAACACATCGCACCCCAAACTCTTCCTCCCTCTCTGCCCTCACCTCATTCTCACACACTCATCTTCTTCCCTTGATACGATGAGGAAGGTGCTGGAAACCTGGGACTCATCCTGGATGTCCCTGGATCCAGGTGGCCACTCAAGCCCCCTGTGCACATTCCTCTTTCCCTACCTGTTATCACTGTCCAGGAGTTTCTCTTCCAAGATCTCCTTCCTGTCCTCTCTGCTCCCGGTCTTGCTCTGCTGAGCCTCCTGTACTGTGGCTCCAGGCCCTCGCTCAGGCTCTTCTCTGCCTGCGCCAAGATAAAACCTTGCGTGGTCTCCATGCTCTCACACCTGTTAGTTTCCACGGCTTCGTTTGACTTTAGCTTTGGAAGTACTGGCTGTGCTGACAGCAGGGCTTCTGGGATTCTTGCCCTGCTTTACCTTTGTGTTTGCTGGCTTCATCTCCCTGCAGTGCCCTGCCTCTGCCTGTCCTCTGCTTTTCTCTGCCAGAAGTGCAAATGTCCATCCAGATTGCCCTGGGAACCCTTTCTTGACTGCCGCAGATCTAGGTGCTTCTCTGCTGTACTCCCACACACTGTGCACGTGACTTTAGCAGATAATTGTCAAGTCGTTTTGCCATCGTGGATGGCGTATGGCTGTCTCAACCACACCATTTCTTGAGAGCAAGTACCAGTCTGTGAAGAAGGCATCCCGTAGATGTTTACAGGTTGAGCAGTAGTCATTTGGGTGATCATTTCATACTGGGTACTCCCTCTTACCAGAAAACAATTTCCAATAATTCTGACTTTAATGCTTTGTTTTTATTGAAATATCCCAGGATAAGCACCTGCCACCAGATGCTGGGGAAACACTGACAGAAAGAACTTGAGTGTAGCAGTCCCTATGAGGGCTTTTAGTTGTGTAGGATGAGATGGGGCAGAAAGAAGGGAATTTTCAGTCTGTCCACACTGCTAAAAGAGATGAAGAGACCCTTCATTAGCCTCTAAGTTCATAACCTATGTTTTGCCAACCCACAAACATTAGTTTTTAATGCAGTATGTTGTGGAAAGCACACACCATCCAGTCTGTGACTGTCACCTTTTTACAGAGAGTTGGTACTTGGAGTCGAAGAGATGAGCACCAGGGACACATGAGTCTGCAGAGGTCTTTGGTGTCTTTGTGCCTTTCTGGGCAATACCACCCTCTTAGGTGATACCGTTCCCATCCCCCAAAGCACCGGGGCGGGTGCACACCCTCCACAGCAGTGCCCTTATGGTAGCTGTTAATGAATATATTTCATGAGCGAGTGAGAAGGTCAAGGAGTGGACACAAAAGTAGACAGCGGTAGTTTCCAAATTCCATGTTTAGTGTTTCATGGAACCTAAGGCAAACTTCCTCAGCAGGTCTTGTCTCTAACTTGATTTTAATAATTGGGAACGTCAGCAGATACAGGAAATGCATGACCTTTTTGCGCCAGAATGGATGTGTCCTCAGCTGCCATTATGTGGTGATGATTAGTCCATGTCTTCATGGGTAGGTTTTTCCCTCAAAATTGTTTTCGGTCTTGAGATATGGAGGTCTATTTGCCTAAGTGACTTGAGTGAGAAAGGGGCATCTTCCTCTTTAACCAACTACTTTACTACTTTCTTTAAGGAGATGATACATTACTTCATTGCACTGGTTTTAAATTTTATTAAATTGAGGTTTCTGAGTAGAAAACAAAGATAGCCAGCAGTGTTATCCAGCTGTTTTCCAAATGAGCAAATGTGTTTGGTTCTGGCCTTTGTTTTCCTGACAGAGGTTGCCATTTCGTACAGTGATTCCCAGCAAGGCTGGACCACAGCTGGCGGTGGTAATTATCTTGTTGGGAAAAATCTGAATCGATGCAGAAGTTAACACTTAATTTTAAGGTTTCTGATTAAATAGGTCCTTTGAATTCAGAACATGTTCTGTTAATAGGTACAATAAATAAAGTATTTTATACTATTGTAAAAAAGGTAAAAGGTTTGTTACCAAAACAGTAACATGCTGATAAACGGGCCTAAGGGCAAAGTTTGGCTATTATGCCAGTTTCGTGTAACTAATGAATTCTGCAGGATTTCAGGGAAACCCCTGGCTTTTCAGTTCTGTGAAGTACCTGTTGATGAGCCTTGGGACTCTGAGCATCGTTGGAGATTTTTGCATCATCTCCGAGCTTCAGCTGAGCCAGGAGTGTGGGAAGGATGTGGAAACTGGGTCATCAGCTGCCATGCGGTCACACTTCATCCTTAGGGAGCACAGTAGATAGAGCGGAAGATGGAGTGCACAGCATGAGTTTCCAGCTCCACATAGAGTGCGGTCTGTTTGCTTATTTGCTGTCATTTTAAGATTTGAAGACCCATACTCTTAGGTGAATACGTCAATGTGTTCTTTCCTCCTTAATCATAAAAGTATTGTGTTCAGAGTAATCACTAACTTTGTATAATGTTTGTATTCCTGTATAGTTTCCCCAAGGAAAAAATTCTGCATAGGCTATTTTCTTGATAGCTAAGTATTACATAAAAAATGTATGTCCTCAAATTTCGCTTTATCTTTAAAGTAATTTACTTCTTATATTTAACTTTTGCATAGGTAATATATTTACCTTATGATTAAAAAGTATAAAAAATGCTTTAGTATACCTTTTAGCTATCTGATTCCTGTTACCTTCCCTTCAAAAGTAAACATTGTTAGTACAATTACATGTATTCTGTGATATTTTTGTTATGAATTTATAAGCAAAAAGCAAGAATATAAAAGAATATTTTCTCCAAAATATTAATGTAAAAGATTCACTCAGATTTTGTAAATAATTATAAACTGATAGTTTTAAAGCTCTGAAATTGTGTTAAAAATAACTTTGATTAGCATAGAAATTCTAGAAAGAGAAACTGTCATTCAGGACTCAGGAAATGATAAAGCAGTTATCAATAAATAAATTTTTAACTAAGTTTTGATAGGATATATAGAAATGATTTTAGGAGAATGAACTTGTGTTTATATTTGTTGCAGTAAATTCTAGATAGTCAAATAATTTAAAAATTTTTGTTTATAAAATTATATAGCACATAGATGTTTATATGTGGATTTGTTAAAATATCAGATAATGGGCTTGAATGTATTAAAGCAAGATACTAGGTTTATTGCATAAATGTTTTATGTATGTCATATATTTTTATGTATGTCATCACCACCTAATCCACTTTCCGAAATGTGTGGGAACAGCAGAGACTTGGCATCAGAGGCCTGGGTTCTGGCTTTGAATCGATTCCCATAGAAGTTGTCTACACCCAGATAAGACCTTTCACACCCGTAAGCCTCCTCTTCCCTATCTAGGGTTATTGGGAGGATGAAAAGAAAAGGAAAGTGAGAATACACTGTGATCAGTAACACACTGTGTAATTATTATTATATGTTATGGGACAGTTTCTAAAAACATTTAGGAAATGCCATAAAGGAATACTAATCTCATGGTCAAATATTTAGATTATGTTTCCTTAATGCAGTAAGTGACTAATAATTCGTTCTTCAGGACTGTATATGATATTAACTTGGCTATTTTCTACATCTATGGAAGTGACAATTATTGATAAGCTACTAATAATTAATAAGGAGTAATGGATAAATACTTCCTCTTGTCAAGTATTACAAAGACACAGTGGAACAAGTGATACTTTAATCATTTTAGAACTGAGAATTAACAAGTATTAATACAAATATGAGTAGTTTAACCATGCAGTGCAGCCATAGAAAATAAGAGCCTTTTTTTTTCCTGGTTTTAAAACTTAGAGTTTATTCAATATATTTTGCCATTTATTCTTAGAACGTGAGTATTGATGTTTATTTTTCTTTAAGCAATCAATGTAGTAGTTTGCTTTTCCTGAAAAATTAGGGAAAATAATTACTGAATTTCTTTAAAAGGTGTCTAAGATTTGTTTGTTACCACAAAATGTGGGCGCCATAGTGGAAAGACTGTTAAAATACAGAAACTTTTGTTTGTTTGTTTCTTGCGTCTTTTTCTGAGATTTAGATTTGTTTTGATTACTTGGCTTGTTTATTTCAAGAAGCTAAGCAGTTCATTTCCTGTTTTTCCAATTCTGTTTGATGCTCAAAGTGACTGACACATTTGGAATGGTTCCAAGACTGAACAGTTTTTTATTTTAAACAGAGTAATTCCCAGGGCACCATAGCACAGGAAGGACAGAATCACTTATCATGGCATTTCTGTGCATTTAGTGTTAGCCTGTGCTTTAGGAAACTTATTTAAGCCGTTATTACTACTTGGGAGAAAAGACCAACAAAACTTGTGGTTGACGGAAAATGGAATAGTATAGTCAAGAGTATAGTACTCACAACAGTGAACTCAAAGAGGCAGAGTCTGAGTATATTTTCGATGTATGTTATGATTTGGTAGAGATGGGGAAATGACTCATCTGCAGTATAAATCTGTGTAATGACTAGGTCAACATCAGGGAAAAGATGAGAAACTTGTAGAAAATGTATGGGAGGAGAGAAAGGCATTTAATTTTAAGTCTAATGATTTGTGTCTTTCCTTCAGCATGTGAGATCAGAAAAGTCAGTCTTCTCATCAGTCAGGTTTCTCTACCAGTTTAACCGGAAAATGAGAAACTAGGAGAAGAACATCATTTCGCGCACAGTTTTTATGTTTCTGGGTTGCCAAATCTATTTGTGTCCTGTTCCTAATTCTCTGTTCCGCATAAATCTTGTAAAGTCAAAACTGAAGTCGCTGTCTGTGTTCGTGAATTCCAGCCATCTAGATCTCTGACTCATTCCAGTTCTCATCCATATGTATTCCTTACGGAAACATAACTTACAGGCATTTTCGTCGCTTATCTGGTTGTTTCTGAATCCTTGTGGTGGTGATTTTAGAAATTAACCTCACCTATCTGTGTGCCTATGTTAATTCCTTTCGCAGTTGAAAAGGGCAGGCAAAAGAATCCCCGAAGTTTATGCATCCAGACACAGACGGTTCCCGATGTGCTGTCCTCTGAGAAAACGCTTGAATTGGCGCAATATAAAACAAAATGTGAAAACCAAAGTGGATTTATCCTGCATCTCAAGCAGCTTCTCGCCTGTGGTAATACCAAGTTTGAGGCACTAACAGTTGTGATTCAACATCTACTGTCTGAGGTAAGGATGTGCATCCTAGAAAGAGCCTTTCTCATTGAGGTCGAGGGTGGGGCACAGGGAGAACCTTGCTCATGAGCTTGCCTTGGGAATATCTTTAGGTAAATGATGGAA